GGCCATTGGTCCTCGTGCCTCTCTGAAGGGGGGCCAGGTTCTGGCCGTGGTCCCCGGTAGGCCTAGAACTCCACCAACATCGACTGATGCCAAAAGTTAGGACTATCCCTATCAGCCTGGATAGCGCTGGGAAGCCGTAGGGGCTCCCTCCAGAAAGAACTCTGCAACTGATGACATTAGGTAGTATGACAATTAATCAGTGATGATAGTTTCAGGGAGCTGATGAGGCTCCCCACAGAAAAGCAGAAAAGCAGACAGTATTGCTAGAACTTATGAAACAGGAGCACAATCCCCCTCTACCATTGGAAAAGGAAATGCATTTGATATAAAAGCAGCAGATATAATGCATCCAAAATGGGTAGAAACAGGTTTCCATCCATTTGGTGACCAACAACCAAGATGGATCAAAGAGCAAACATTGCACAACTATAGCAACCCCCAGAGACTTAAGATGCCTTCAGCACCTGGTCATCAAGTACATTTACATCACCTTGCCAGCACCCTTTCAACAAAGGTAGGTGTCCATTAAATGTCTTTTAGAATTTACTTGTGTCTGTCTATTCCTGTTTATTTTCTTTTTCTTTTGCATTTTACATATACTACTGTATATGCCTGCATAGGAACCTTACCTCTGAACATTATTATTTCTCCATGAAGGTATGTGATGATTGTTTTACTGGGGTACAAGCCTTACCAGTATGTTGAAGCCTTCAACAAGTATTTCAGCTGCTCCTTCAAATGTTTACAACACTTAAGAGCAATTAAAATGTCTGGGGAAGATTCTGTATAATAAAAACAAACAAAAAAGTTCCCCCAAATAGGGGGATAATGTAATAATGTACATGGACTAACATAGAGAACAAGAAGAGGAACAAGGTGGATTACTAAGGCTTATCAAGGATGAGGAAGGTACTAGTTGGTGTCAGGCAGGATGTGGGACATGACAGGTATATGACAACAGCCAACCGCCACACCACTAGCCTCCAGCAGCAGAATAAGAACTCAAGATCAACACCAACAACAAAGCTCCAAGCCAAGATCAAAACATCATGCCAACCCACAACCCACGGTGGATAGGCCACCGAACTTTTAAGCCTTCGCGTTCTCCTCTTCAAGAATTTTATCTCTCCACTCCTCTTCCTCCCCATATTTCCCAAGCTCCTTGGATATCAAATCTGAATCGGACAGGTATAGGTAAGACTTTAATAAATGTGTGATGCTACTAGGCAGGGTGCAGCTTTAAGCAGGTAAAGTGGGGCTTTAACCCCAGTTTGAAGGAAAGGTAAGCCTGTGACTCCTCAGTGATGGGTTAGAATGTGTAGGCAGGAACAGAGGTAGGGAACTCTCAGGAGAAGTGCCAGGCCATTATGACTGTTTAGCACTTGAAAGGGATCAGGATAAGGATTTAGGCTGGGACAGGAAAAAGGAATGTTGCCCAACCACTTAGATGGTCAGGGATTGAACGCCGACCTGCATGAAGCGAGACCATTGCTCTATCAGCCCAAGTGGTTGGGTATAGGCAGGGCCGGTAAACATGTACTACAATAAAGCAGCAATGGTGGGAGTAATGAGGATACTAGTACTGTAATTAGCAAACTATTATTACAACTTGCTTGTACTTTTGTCACTTAAATCATCTATATAAAAATATATTAAATGTTTATTTTCCATTTCAATCTACCAGTTGTTGAAACTAAATACTTCAAGGCAACATCATAAATTCTATTCAGAAAATAATTTTCCTGTGACTAGCTCGTAATAAACTGTTTTCATCTCTAATTTATTAAGTTACTGATGAAATTAACAGAATCTGAATGTTTTTCCATTCACAGAGATTGATTGTGAAGATTATAAATATTAAGAAAAACTACACAGGTAGTATGATTATGCCCTAGTGGGGCATCATGACCTACATAACCTTGAGCCTCTAAAAATTCATGAAAATTAGCTTTGCAAAATCACAACTACTATCATATTTGATGATGAAAAGTCATAAAATGCTGGCCACAGGATAAATATTCAGTGCTTCACTAATTCATTTGACTAAAATTTTGATGGCAAGAGATTATGCATACTACCGTTATCATCCCTGCTGTATCTGGCGCTGCTTGATGCTGCCGGGTTATTTGAAGGGGTTATCAATTATTTCTGGATTATAAACATTTTCTCTCAAGCACTGGAAATTAGTCTCAACACACTGACAGTAATGTCAATTTATAAGCAGGTAATTCTGGAAATATTTTTTATATAAATTTATATAAGAACTGTTTGAAACAATAAAAAAAAAAGTGTACATCATACGGGAGCATCTTCCTGCAACATCTTACCTGATGTGTGGGGCAGCAGTAGTCCAGTAAAGAAGAACATGATGGCTTGGGGCCCCAGTTGCAACATGCTTGGGCACAATGTAAACCTAGCTCGGCACAATTACAGCAAGGTATATAATGACATTGTCCTCCACATATACCTTTCTTCAACAAACACTGTCTTATACTTAAACCTGTAAAATATATAAAATAAAAATAAAAATACAGTAGTTAAAACAAAAAAACATTAAGTAGAAATTAAGTTACATTAAGGCGAGAAACAATGGACAGAGTTTCTTTCACCCTATGCCCCTGTTACCTAGCAGTAAAATAGGTACCTGGGTGTTAGTCAGCTGTCACGGGCTGCTTCCTGGGGGTGGAGGCCTGGTCGAGGACCGGGCCGCAGGGACACTAAAGCCCCGAAATCATCTCAAGATAACCTCAAGAAGAAGTACAGTGCATCCTCACTCTAACGAACCCCGCTCTAGCGAATTCCCGAAGATCCGGGAATGACAGCCACTGTCATCAACTATGATTCACCAAAGTGTAAACAGTTGTACAGTATTATATTTTGCTTACCCATTGTTTCCAGTGAGAAATGGTTGAGGGATGATAAAATGGTGTCAGGAGAGGCAGGTTGCATCATTGGTGAGGGTTGGAGTCTGGGGGCAAGTGCTGTCAGTAGTTGGGGGGTTTAGTGTCAGGAGGCAGGTGGTGGAAGTTATTCTCATTCGGGGTTGGCAGAAAAGACTGGTGGTGTCAGTGGTGGAAGTTGTCATGACAGGCAGGTGAAGTCAGGGGAGGCAAATGGTGTCAGGTTATGTCAGGGGAGGCAGGTGGTGTCAGGGGAGGCAGGTGGTGTCAGAGGAGGCAGGTGGTGTCAGGGGAGGCAGGTGGTGTCAGGTGAGGCAGGTGGTGTCAGGTGAGGCAGGTGGTGTCAGGTGAGGCAGGTGGTGTCAGGTAAGGCAGGTGGTGTCAGGGGAGGCAGGTGGTTTCAGGTGGTGTCAGGGGAGGCAGGTGGTGTCAGGGGAGGCAGGTGGTGTCAAGGGAGGCAGGTGGTGTCAGGGGAGGCAGGTGGTGTCAGGGGAGGCAGGTGGTGTCAGGGGAGGTAGGTGATGTCAGGGGAGGCAGGTGGTGTCAGGGGAGGTTGGTGATGTCAGGGGAGGTTGGTGATGTCAGGGGAGGCAGATGGTTGCAGGTGGTGTCAGGGGAGGCAGGTGGTGTCAGGAGAGGCAGGTGGTGTCAGGGGAGGCAGGTGGTAGCAGGTGGTGTCAGGGAAGGCAGGTGGTGTCAGGGGGAGGCTGGTGGTGTTAGGGGAGGCAGGTGGTGTCAGAGGAGGCAGGTGGTGTCAGGTGGTGTCAGAGGAGGCAGGTGTATTCAGGTGATGTCGGGGGAGGCAGGTGGGGTCAGATGATGTCAGGTGGTGTCAGGGGGAGGCTGGTGGTGTTAGGGGGAGGCTGGTGGTGTTAGGGGGAGGCAGGTGATGTCAGGGGAGGCAGGTGGTGTAAGGGGAGGCAGGTGGCGTCAGGGGAGGCAGGTGTATTCAGGTGTTGTCGGGGGAGGCAGGTGGGGTCAGTGGGTGAGCTCTGGTTATCAGTTATCAGCTAGTTGGCAACACGTGGCTGGTGCCTCCATGCTTCTACATCGATAGTTCACTGTCTGCTTTTCACCAAATTAGCTAATAAAATATTACCATTTCAGTTGATTGTAATGCATCGCTCTATCATATTCCATAGTTAATATGAAGAATTGATAATAAATGGCGATGTCAGTGGTGAGGGGGATGTATTAGGGTGGTGGAAAGACGTCAAGGAAGAAGAGGGTGTGAGTGGAGATCTGTCCACCCATCAATTATGGCGTCTGCTGACTCTGCACCACATGGCTGCCTCAATACTATACTCACTTGATGCTTTTCACAAAATTAGGAGAAAATTTTTTACTATTTCAGTGGTGGTGGTGGGGGATGGTGTCAGTGGTGGGGGATGGTGTCAGTGGTGGGGGATGTTAGTGGTGGGGGGATGGTGTCAGTGGTGGGGGGATGGTGTCAGTGGTGGGGGATGGTGTCAGTGGTGGGGGGATGGTGTCAGTGGTGGGGGATGATGTTAGTGGTGGGGGGGATGGTGTCAGTGGTGGGGGGATGGTGTCAGTGGGGGGTGATGATGTCAGTGGTGGGGGGGATGGTGTCAGTGGTAGGGGGGATGGTGTCAGTGGAGGGGAATGGTGTCAGTGGTGGGGGATGGTGTCAGTGGTGGGGGGGATGGTGTCAGTGGTGGGGGGATGGTGTCAGTGGTGGGGGGGATGGTGTCAGTGGTGGGGGATGGTGTCAGTGGTGGGGGGATGGTGTCAGTGGTGGGGGGATGGTGTCAGTGGTGGGGGATGGTGTCAGTGGTGGGGGGATGGTGTCAGTGGTGGGGGGATGGTGTCAGTGGTGGGGGATGGTGTCAGTGGTGGGGGATGGTGTCAGTGGTGGGGGATGGTGTCAGTGGTGGGGGATGGTGTCAGTGGTGGGGGATGGTGTCAGTGGTGGGGGATGGTGTTAGTGGTGGGGGATGTTGTCAGTGGTGGGTGATGGTGTCAGTGGTGGGGGATGGTGTCAGTGGTGGGGGGATGGTGTCAGTGGTGGGGGATGGTGTAAGTGATGGGGGATGGTGTCAGTGGTGGGGGATGGTGTCAGTGGTGGGGGATGGTGTCAGTGGTGGGGGATGGTGTCAGTGGTGGGGGATGGTGTCAGTGGTGGGGGATGGTGTCAGTGGTGGGGGATGGTGTCAGAGAAGTGACTGATGATGAAGAGCTGGCAGATTATTCTCGACACCTAAAGGGCATGAAAGATATTATAATGAAGCTGCGCACAATGAAGAAAACTAAAACTCAAAATTTTTTGGTACGGTTTCACAGTAGGTCTACAGGACCAGCATCCAGCACTAGCAAGGACTCCCCTCGTGCATCATGTGCAATTTTTCATAATGCAAATGTGTCCTGGCATGCACTGGAACGAATCAACTTCGCCCCATATAGTTCATTCAAGTGAGGACACACTGTACAGTATAATGTAACACCAATTTCTAGCTAAGTGGCACCCTGAAGATACTATAACAGATAGTGTACCAACTACTTAGGTCGCATCAGCCGAACAGTTCTATAAGCCAGAACCTGGCCTCCCTCACAGAAGTGCAGGGAGTGGTGACATTCATTTATTCATTTATGCCACCAAGCATAGCACCCAGAAAATTAGTGAAACAAAACAAACCACTGCTATCTTTAAACGAGACTACAACCTTGAGACCTGCTGAAAGAACTTCCCTAAAATTGAAAACAAATGATTGAAATCTCTTGAAACTAGTGCCAGCTTGTTCGCCCCACCTCTCCCACTCATTTAGGGAAAGAGGGGAGTTGATTTCCAGTCAAACAGAAAGCCCACCCTCGGTTCTATGGTAGATGTGACAACCCCTCTATGACCTGGAGGGAGGGAGGGAGTGTATCAGGGAGCCTCTTGGGCTCACCCAGAAATTGCATTTTATTACATTTAACTTACATTTAATGCTAGTTTTGTGGGGGAAGGCCCCTTGTGGCTTCCAGGAGCTAACTACTCACAGAGATGGACATCAAAAGGGCACTTACCATGAGAAAGAAGCACTGCATATCTAGAACAATGAAGAGATACCAGGGTGAGAAATATGACCCAGAGCAAAACAAGGGTACCACCAGAACCATATTTGACCTCCAAAACCTCCACACCTGAATACTAGCCCAGGACATACATTCCTTGCATACACAGCTTATAGTGTGGCATATTTCCGATCATTGGCACAAAAGTAGACCGCAGGCTGACTAGATTTAATAACACACTGATGACCTCAGAAAGATGAGGCTTGGAACAGGGGGGGGGGACCAATCCAAGGCAACAAACAGGATCAATCCACAGAGCATTCTCCGAGGTGGAATCAGTGACAAGAAGGAAGTGACAGAGATCTGTCATTGGACACAACTGGAGCATGATGCACCATAGCTGAACCATCAATGATCAAAAGACCTCCTCCTCAGAAGCCAACTGACTCATTTTTCACCAGAAAAGGAGCCGGTTGTAGACGAAAAAAGCGCCTATCATGGCCAAAAGAACAAAAGCCCCAGTGCCATCTGAGAGAATGTTGGACACTCCGTGGACATGAACATCATGGCAGACCAAAGTCCAAGAACCAAGCAAGAGAGAGCTACATGTAGTGTACAACTCCAAAGAGGCAAGGATCAAAATGACTGTCACCCCCCCCCACCCCCACCCCTGCCCTGGTTGAGCCAAGGAGGAACAGTTCGAATAGAGCCAGAGCAATGGAGCCTGGGAAAAACTGAACTCTCCACAGTGTACAAGTTCCCTACAGCTACACGCTCCCAAACTGTACTCACCTAGTTGTGCTTGCGAGGGTTGAGCTATGACTCTTTGGCCCTGACTCTCAACTGTCAATCAACTGGTGTACAGGTTCCTGAGTCTTTTGGGCTCAATCATATCCACATTTGAAACTGTGTATGGAGTTTTATCTCCACAACACCACTGCCAAGTGCAGCCCATTTGTTAACTACCCTGACACTGACAAAATTCATTCTAATGTTATTTGACTACAAAGTTTCCACTTGTATTCCACCTGTTCATGTTCCTCCTATGCTAAATAGTTTGTCTTTGTCCACCCTGTCGACTCCTCTTGAGAATTTTGTAGGTAGTCATCGTATCTCTCCTAACTCTTCTGTCTTCCATGGACGTGAGATTCCGTTTTCCGTACCCTTCCTTGTAACTCATACCTCTCAGATCTGGGACTAGTCTGAGTCCCAGATCTGGGGATGTGATCTGGGACAAGTCTAAATCTTGTCTGACTTTATCTTGAGTTTAACTAGGTAAGGACTCCAGGCTGGAGTTGCATACTCCAGGATTGGTCACTGATCCTGGGACTTTGCTGTGAGCTCGACGAAGGAGAGGAGACCAACGACCCTAGTCGGCTTGTTGAGTACGGGTCACAAATCCCCAACCCCGAAAAGCCCAAAGAGGAAGCTGGCAACACAGCAGCCGGCACAGGGCCCACGGAGCTCGTACCAAATGATTGAGGAAGTGGCAGAAGAGGCTGCCCCGAAGATACAAAAACAGCTGCCACAGCCAAATCATGCCCAGAGGAAACTTGATGCAGTCAAAATTCAGGCTCCATAAAAACCA